ATTGAGGAGGTTTCAATGCAATCCGTCGCATAGTCTTCAATTATAGCTTCACCATGCTTCTAGGGTTGAAAGATTGAAAGTCAATAGACTAATCTTCATTTCTTGCTCCTTCGAATGAGAATTCTTCGATGATCTCAGATAAAGCCTTGGCTCAGAAAATCTTCGATACAGTCTCCATGAGTCTCATCTACATCTGAATTCATTTTTTTCAAGACAAAACAAAACTAAAAGAAAACTTGGCACACAATATTTTTTTGGATTTTTTATATTTTCTAGAAAAATAAAAATAGAAACAAAAATATTTTTGGATTTTTGATTTTTAATTTTTTTTTGATTTTTGAATATATATATATACCCCCCCCCCCCCCCCCCCCAAAAAAAAATTTATGCATAGAGGAAAACTATGAACAAATTTAACAAAAACAAAAATATTTGGGATCAAAATTGTTAGACAGTCTTAATCTGTTTGTCAGTACCTTCCCCTTCATGAATAGATCTGGTCGATCGCCAGTATTGTGGTCCACTTAAGCACGAAAAATTGTGACAAATTTTGGGCATGCTATAAGTGACAAGACAAGTTGATCTTATGTTCCTAGATAAAACTTCCTAAGGACCATTCATCTGACGACGACCAAAGATATTGTTGTCCACCTAAGTTGAGCAGCGAGATCTACAGATAACCTATAAATCATTCAATTTTAGTTGTACTAGAACATGTTTTCGGCTTCCTGGTATACCCTAATAATCAAGGACTTCCGAGATGCTCCTTACTTTACGTGAGCAGACAATTATTAGGAGAGAGGATACATTTAGAATGCATATGTTGTACACCCAGGTCGGATCCCTTCCAATCACGTAGAGGTTGAAACATATGACTAACTCGAATTTCAGAGGGATTGAGAAGCAGAAGGTTGTATATGCTGTGTACCAGGTCGGATTATTAATCACGCAAAGCAGACATCATATGGCTAACATGTAGAAAGAATGGCATAGATAGAAGATGCTGAGAGACAGATTTGCATATGTTGCAGTCCAGGTCAGATCTTTCGATCACACAGAGAAAGCAACAAATGAATAACAATAAGAAAAAAATAAAATAATTTTCTACGGACCTAATTTATCGGAATTCCCTACTCTCCCCGTCAATACCAGAATTAAGGACATAATCCATACATCGAGGAAAAGTTAATCCACAAATCTAGATACAGGTTTCTTTAATGTGATAGGTAGATTCTCATGTATATCTCCCTGCTCAACCTACCCAAGCATTGTATTGTCAGGCTAAATGGAACTATATCGGTCAGAATTTTGTCAAATCTCTATATTCCTTAAGTTCATATGCACCTAGTCAAGTCCATTAAACTTTTCGTGCCTACCAGCGCATCGAACACAGAGCCTAGACAATTCAGTTTTGGTATTTTACACAGACTCAGATTTCCTGTTATCACAAGTTTTATATCACTTCACAATAATACCTACTAAAGAAAAACTATAAAAAGATTGTCTTTAAAATGGATCAGAGTAAGATAAACTCAGGAGTATAGAGAAGAAAACGCAAATTGTAATTCATCGATTGAATTTGCATCCAGAAGGTCTGAAAACAGCATGCATAATCTCATAACAGATCCAAAAATTCTTCATGTCATTAAGCACTAAACCCATTTGTGATCTCTTCCTTTCCCACAAAGGACACATACTCTCAAACAAAGTTCTGAATATTGTACAGTTGAGAGATGCCTCCTATTAAGTGCCTGGAACAGCCACTATCAGCAAACCTAATTATAATGATATGCCTCCATAGTTGTTCCGACACCGAGCAGGATCAGTTGGTCTTTGGAACTCAGTTCATTTTGAAACTGGGTTGACCTCTGTCATCAACGCAAGGTACTTTCTCCCATGACATATCTTGTTTATCACAAACAGAAAATGTAGAAATATTAGAGCATTAGATGATTTGGGATATTCAACCTTTTGTACCCATCTATAGTTGTGCTTAACCCATCTCTTTTTCGATCTGATGGGTGGCTTGGTACTGGCTTTTGATCTTGATGTTGGCCGTTGAGATGACTTTGATTTAGCCGGTCTTTGTTCCGCTGGAGCATCTCTTGGATTGGACTTCTTGGCCGACATTCCCTTCTTTCCCTTGGGATTTGGATTCTTGGCCTTCTATGCGTTCCAGTCACCATTTTCTGAACGTGGCCTTGAGGGGTTTCTTATGGAAGGTCTCCCTCTTGGCACATTCTGTCATCCTTGTGCGTACTAGGGAACGTATGCACAATTTGGATAGTTTCGGGCAATGGGACCAGGTGTTCCATAGTGAAAACATGTCTTTTTCTTCACTCGGAAGTTGTTTGTTCCTGCCCCTGGTGGCATGTCCATGCCTTGTCTCAGGTTGTTCCCACATGCACACTTGCAATAAGCATCGGTTTTGCTTGTTTTGGTGGCATGTATTTCTCAACAGTAGGTTGATCAGAAGCAAATGAGTTCGCAGAAACAAATTCACAGTTCAATGAATCATTAGATTTTTCAATTGTTTTCTCCTTGCTCTCATCTTCTAGCACTTTACATGCACATGTAACAGAATCATTAGAATCGTTCACCTCAACCATTTCTGGCACAACCACATCAGATTTTCCATATTGAAGATGTGCCTCCCTATCAATTTCTTCCTGTGTCATAGGGATGGATATATAGTTATGATTGAAAGGGGGAGGAACACTATCATACCCTAGGCCCTTGTTTTGATTATCTTTGAATTTTATTTGGTTTTCAAATAAGGACTCGACTGTCTTACTTGACGCAGTATAATTTTTGAAACTAACATATGTTTTTCCACACTTAATTTTCAAAGTGTCAAGTTCTTCAGTTACAGCAACAAGTTTTTTCTTAATGTGATCGTATTTTCACACTTTTTGTTGTAATCTTCTAGTAATTTCCTAATGTCCTTAGTCTTGGCCTCTAATTGAGCTTTCAGAGGTTTCTGACCTTTCCTAAGAGTATAACCTTCGTACTTGAGGTCCTCATTTTCTCTTTTTAATAAATCAATTTGATCTTGGAGAAATTTAATAGTAGTTTCATTTACCAAAATTGATGCGGAACTCTTTTTTTTAGATTCCCTTTGACTTAAAAACCAAGAAAGTCAACCATCAAATTCAAATTTAAAATTCAAACTTAAAAGTAAAACCGAATAGCTGAATTTGAAAATTTAAAAGTTAAACGATAAAGTCAAAGGTCAAACTTGAAAAGTCAAAGTCAAAATTTTAAGTAAAAAGTTAAAAATTAAAATCAAAAAATTTTGGGTTGAAAAAGGATTTTAAAAATAAAATTTTGAATTTTTGGGTTAAAAATGTAATTTGCGAAATTATAAACCGAGAAGGACAGCTTATGATTTAAATTTTGAAGGGATGACATAAAGGGTCTCCTAGTCGAGTTGGTAAAGCGCAGACTTGAACAACTAGAGGTCCCGGGTTCGATCCCCGGCACCCGCAAATTCGTTTCCCTTTTTTTAATATGCGAAGGAAGTTGTGCGATGCGAGGACTTCTACTGCTGCCGACCAAGACCTCGGACCGAAAACAGGACCGAAAATCCGAGGCTGACCAAAAACTTGAACCGAACACGTGACTTCGGGCCAAAAACTCCGACCGAAAACGTGACCGAGAACCTCCGAAATCGCTGGTTACGACGAAAACGATGTTTTTTTGATCCTTTTTGCTCCAAAACTCGATCAAAAACTAGTTTTTATGAAAAACGCGAAGAACAAACCCCCCTTATTTTGCCAATATCTATCCAAAAACGCAAAAAAATCTCTTCAAAATAAGATCAAATAAGCTCTAGATCTGAAAAATTGATTGATACAACCAAGCACTGATACCACTTGTAAGTCCCCAAATCTGTTTGTGTATCAATAAGATCCAATTGATGGTGCGGAATCCCAATCAATTGTATGATTTGAGATCAAAATAGAAGAGAAGGAGGAGAAGAAGAAGATGAATCTATGATGTATTAATGAAATGATTGATGCTCAATACACATAGTTCACACACACTCTTCTCTCTATAGTTTCTCTCACACCTTAGAATACACACACTCAAGCTCCTTGGCTCTTTTCTTACCCTCACATGCACTCCTCACCTTATATATATATATATATATATATATATATATATATGGACCTAAAGCCAAACCCAAAATATAAATAATCCAATGCTAGACCGAAAACACATGGGTTTTTGGTCCTTGCTTCAATTAATCCTATATTATTTTTGCCTCAAATAATTAAATACAATAAATGCTTAGAAAAGAAAACTATAAACCATATTTTTGACCCAACAAGTCTTTTTAGGTCGGACTTACCACGCAACAAAAAGATGTAATTGGGACCGTCCAAGTTAAGCAAAAACGTTAGGGACCAAAATCATAAATTACCTCAAACCATAGGGATCATTCGTGTGTATATCTGTGTGTTAAAAGTTGAAATATCAATATATTAACAAGAATTGAAAGTAATTATTTTTGAAATATCGAAGGGAATAAACTAAAAATATATTTTAGCTATAAGGGATAAAAGTGTTCAAATTATTTATTCTTTGATTATATATATATATATATATATATATATATATATATATATAATGTCTCATGTTAGGAACAGTAAACTATATGGTGTTCTGGCAGCAAAGGTCCTTCGTTTATGATGGTATCTCATATTTTGGCTTTCTTGCTTTTCTGGGCAGTTTACGTCCTTTTCTATAAAAAAATTTGACACGTGTTATCCTGTTTTTCCTTCACCGTTTTGTCGGCCAATTAGGTTTCGATTTCTATTTCTGAACCTTTCTCCACCGCCTCATTTGTTGCTTTCAAATGTTACAACCTACTCCGGAAATAGAGAATAGATCGTTTCTTATTACAAGAGAAACCTTCTTCTTCACTTTCGACCACACTTCTCTGTTGCGACACCACCTCTGCCAAAGCCTCTGTCGGTGAGTTGCAGGATCCGTCGATGACCTATCCTTCTATACCGTCTATTGTACCCTCTGCTCACCCACCCACTGTCTCCACATATGTCTCATCCACTGATTCCACTCAATATCGGTAAGTGAGAGAAGAAGATGCCTCCACCACTTTCAGGTCTTCTTCAATTGTTGCTTCCTGATACTTCCACCACTGGTCACTTTTTTTTGCTGCGTTCTCTTATCAACTGAGTCAGAGCAAACCGACAAAACCCTCAGCCCATTTACCATCAGCGTCACTATCTTCTCTATCATCAACAACCATGTTTATGCATCTTCACGTTTTCTATTAGGGCTTCCGCCCCCATCACCATCATCGATCGGTGGAGCCTAGACGATATCGTTCAACACCGTCACACTCCTGCGACTACTCCTTCTCCACCTCCTTTCATTCTACAATGGAATGCTTGCATAGATTCTTCATTGACATCTTTGACAAGGCGATCACTATACCACCATTTGTCCTTCATGGGTAATGGAATTGAGGTTATGGTTGGCGTCTCAAATGATCTATTGGCCACCCTCAGCTACTCCATGATTGTCGTTGATTTGTGGGTTTCCCAGAATGTCTACAGATACATGATTTGAGGCGGAGCAAACAACAAGTATTATCCCCAGTCCCATCCCCGTCTCTATGTATATATTATTCAGTATATCTTTAGCTTAAAATCCGCTGCTATCTTGTGATCTGAAACTCTAATCTCTAGCCACTGCTTATTTATGTCGATTAGTGTAGGCATGCATGTGGGGTCAGATGAGTGCATATGCAATTTGAATTGGTGGGGAAAATAAGAAATAAAGAATCCCCCCTTTCGGATGATACCTAAACCCAAATGATAAATTTTGATCTTTAATTGATTTATAACCTTTGGTTTTCATTGACTTTGATATTGTTATTCAATATTCCTTAATTGATTATTTACTTTTTGTTTTCACTTTCTAATGTGTAGAATAGATTGCAAAGAAGAGTTGTTATTGACTTTAGTTAATCGGTGGTTCTGAAGTAAATGGTGCAAAATAGTTGGGAAGCTGATAAAATGTAGTACTGTTCTTATTTATATATACAAAGTACTATAACACATGCTTGAAGTATTGATCTATTTTGATAAAATTTCAAATTGAGGCCATTTAGTTTTCTACTTTTGTCAAGAAAATTATTTATTCATGTAATTGATCAAAGATTGCGCTCAATTTGGAACTGATGGATATTAGTATTTGTTCATTTGTAAATCCCAATAATTTTTTTAGGAAAAGTTCAATGATCTACACCAGAAAGTTTGTAATTTTCTTTGTATGGTTGTGAGCTTACCCTTCCAGGTTCCTTGATCTTCCTATGTAACTACCAATGACAGTTTGGTATGTCACATATCTTTTCTCTTTCTATTCAAGCATATTTTACACAAAGATTACAGCTTTTTTCATTCGAAATTCATGAAAGTGACTTTCTTGATTGCAGTTCAAGTTTGAACTTGGAAAAACACTTCTAAGCAGAGTAATCAGAACGGAATATGGTCATCCAATATTTTAGGATGGTTTCTTTTTCAGATCTTTTGGAAATGCCAAAAATACCCTAGTATTTTAGTAGACATGAAATTGGGGGAAGGAATGGAATGGGTGAGTGACTCTAATGGAATGAAAGAAGAAGCTTTTTGCTTTCTCTGATGGAATGAAGGAGTTCGATTCCTTTCTTTTTGTTAATCTTCATTACTTAGCCATATATTTTGTTCCCAAAGAATCTAATTTTTATAAAAACATTTTAGTAACAATTTTGAAAGACAAAAAGAAAATATTTTACTTAAAAATTAATTTTTATATAAAAATTATGTTATTAAAGATCATATAAATAAAAGTTATTCATATTAACATTTATATCATTCCGTTCCATCAAACAATGATTAAACAAAAAGATTTTCTCATTCCACCCTAATGCCCCATTCCATTTCCCTCTTTAGTTATCAACATTAGTCAAATTAGAGGACTATTGAAATTAAATATCTTGCTTCCAGGTTGATATATTGTTCAGAAATTTAACTGCTTCCTACACTTGCAAGAGGTTAACCATCTACTTCTGTTGACGAAGCCCTTTGACCAATGCCATTAGAAGGTTTCAAACTAACCCTTTTCTCGATTCCGGGCTTCTCGATTGGACATCAGCTTTTCTTTTATTACTAGGTTTTTATATCCATGTTTTTTTATTTGATATTGACCCCTTGTAGTATAGTACACATGGAATTGGGGGATGGAATGGAATGGTTGCTTGATATCCATGAAACCATAGTAACTTATTAATTGAAAAAGGAATGGAATGGTTGATTCATATCCATGAAACCATAGTAACTCAAAATTTGTTGTTATTTGTTTATTTTCAAATGCAATATATGTCATTGTATTACCACACTCTTCGAATGCAATATGAAAAAAATAATGAATTCTTTGCCAAGTTTCTACACCAAGACTTATTTCTTCAAGGGGAACATATTACTAGATTACATTTTTTTTATCCTTCCGGTTGGGCAGTTGTCTGATTTTATTGCACTGTGTTGACTAAGTAGTTGGATAGACCAATATTTCAGTTTATTTTCCCTATTTGCATTTGTAAAAGACCAATACCAGCTTATCACTAACCATACACTATAACAATAGGATTGTAGTTTCAACATACAATTCTCAAATAAGAAATAAATAAATAAATAAATAACTCAAAAATAGAAATGAAAGTAAGCTGGAATATTTCATTTTAAACTTTTTCACAACTTTTCTTTCTTATTCCGGTATGAAAACTTCGAAAATTATAAAATAAATGTTGTATCGTTTTGTTTTTAGAAATCAGATTTAATTTCAGCCTTTTAGATCACTTGTAACAAATTTCGACCATTTGTTTTAAATTATAATGCAAGTAATATGATCTGACTTTGAAATTGTTTAACAAGGTGTTTGATAATAACAAAATCATGACATTTGTGACGTTAGTTCTCCAATGATGTTGAGTGGTTTAGAACGGTAACATTCTGAAGGTCAAATCCATAGTTAATGTCCCTTTTATTTACCTACTTAAATGAATCAAAAGGCTATTGTTCTTTTTTTCATTGGTTTACTTTAGATAATCTATTAGATTTCTGCACATCATTGGTTTCCTAAACATCATTAGTAATACAAATGCTATCATTCTACTGGAGGAAACTAGAGAATTCCAACTTTGATTGTCTATGAAGGTTTGTCTTCTAACTTTCCCTTTTTTATGTTATCTATAAATGAATACCTTACGGTTTTTCATTTGTGTTTGGCAGGATGAATGGGCATAGGTAGAATAATATGGAATGATAAACCTCCCAAAAATGGTTAGAACATATATGATATACTCTCACCTTTGTTTGAATTCAAAGCTTTTTCTTAATTTGACTTTTGATAGTGACAGTTTTGTGGCCACTTCAAGCATCATTAGCCTATCTATCTTCCCTGAGTTTCGTTCCATCTAGGTACTCTCTGTAGGATGAAACATTCATGATTGTGAGTCCATTAGGTCGAATCTTTCTATCATAAGATAAAATTCAATATGATCTACATGGATTTGAAGGTAATCTCTCGCCTCTTTAGTGATATATTAGGAATTTGATTGATGTTTATGAAGTTATATAAGTTATTGACACTAAGTTAGATTGCATAATTGTAAAATTTCAGTTGTTGATCTTGAGAGAAACCTTTCTTAATCATAAATCCACGGAATCATAAAAGGGTGACTTTTATAGGTACCCAAAAGAAATGTTATGTTTGTAAAAACACAACTTTATTATTGAGATTTTCAACACTGCTTTCAGGTTTCAAATAGATTATGCTCTGCTTCTTCTTATTTATAATGTAGTTGCAGATAACATGTTTTAAATATAAAAAATGCTCAGATAAGCATCCAAATGAAAGTAACTTCATGATGGGAACAAAACTTATTAGGTGTCATGTTAAAGAAGAGAACACAACCTTTTTATAATTTTGTCCAACAATATCAAATGTAAAACAAATACGTCATCATTTTTAATATCACAGTCTTCTGTATAAAAGTAGATTTTTGACACCAAGGTGTACCACAAACGCCCTAAATACTGTTAACAAATTCATACCCCTCTAAGCGGGGTTTCTCATCTAGTTATAAAAAAAAGGATATAAAGAATGTTGTGGGATTAAGAAGTAAAATAAAAAATACAAAGAATGCACAAAAGTCATCTCAATTTGGGTTTAAAATAGGTAATGTTACTTAAGGAAACCGGAAACGTCGCTCAATACATCAACTCAATTTAGGTTTTATGTATGGTGGTTTTGACTTTAATTAATAATGTGGTTTTGACCCAATTTTTGGGTGTGTTTAACAACACCCTATAAATACCTAGAAATTGAAGTGTTAAGAATTTGCAATCAAATTAACTATACAAAATCAGAAATAAAATGAATTCAATTATGTTGTGACTTTCTTATTCATGCAATCAAACCATATTTGGTTATTCAGAATACATTCTATCTATGTTGGTGCAAAGAAAAAGTAACAACCTCTAGTATAAACTCTTTTACCTATATTAATTAGCCAAAACAAGCTCTTCAGGTAACCCTAACTTTTTACTGGCTAATAAACAAGCTCTTAATTAAAATTAAAAAAAAAAACTTGGATTAAGATGTGTGTAAAATTCCCAGAAATACCCAATATTTTTCTCAAGCTTGGAAGCGTAAATGTATGAAATTTTAATTTATATTATAGTTACATCGCTAACACAAAACCAATATGATACTTGTCTCTTGTTACAGGTTGACATGAACAAATATGAATTCTATTTACTGATTAACTAGAATGATTAAATGCTAGCTAGGTGATCAAAATAACAAGAATTAAAAATCAAACATTTATTAAGCTCAAAATTGAAACAGCTAGATAATAACATACAATGAAAACCAAATTTGATAACTGATCACATAAAAAGTACTAGTCTATTACCTAACTGAAAACTAGGGTTTTAGCTAGACATGGCCAAAATTTGATAAAAACTACTAAAAAGAATAATTAAACAATTAGATCTTACTAAACTAAACATACAATATGATCCACAATCTTCAGATCTTCAGAAATTAATGAAACCAGAGAGAAATCGCCTCAAAAATCGTTTTTTTCATTGGATGGAGCTACATGAATCAGCTTGACTTTAAACTAATCAAAGGGGTCATATTTATATGCAAGTAGGTAACTTTCGGAGCAAGATTACAAAAAATGCGATCGTATATACGCAAAAAAGCGATCACATTTTGCCCAAAATTTATTGAATCGTCGTTTATTGAAGTATGATTCTATTTTAGGTATATTTTGAACCTCGACACAAAAATGTGATCACATTTTTGCCCATATGATTGCATTTTTTGTGATTTTTCTTACCCTGATTATTTTTCGACCCTACAAAATCTCGACCAACAAATGCGATTGCAGATTGGAAAAAATGAAATCACATTTTTATCTTTTTTCACAAACAAAAAATTCATTTGAAATTCTTTCTAGTTTCTGGAACATTTTGAATATTGTCAATCGGAGTTACGAGTCATGAGATATGAGATATGGT